TGTTTCACTTTGGATCTTGTCATAACTGCTCCAGCTAGTGGAGTAGTCTCATCAGGAACACGACCCATAACAGTCGGTTCCCCTTTATCTCGTTTAACAATACCATAATCTTCATCAAATATTTCTTCTTCGCTTGGAATTGGATGACGGGATAGGTAATCAGCTAAACAATTGTGTTGACCTTTAATATGGATAATTTTTTCAATATTAAATTCTTGTAATAATATTGATATACGATCAACTCTTCGGTTCTTCACTGTTGAATTCATCATGTTACATAATGGACAATGATCAGTGTAAATGATAATTGATCTTCCTAATAAATAAGATCGCATACGTTGGAAACACATCCATATTGCTAGTGCTTCTAATTCAATCGGATCATATCTCCTTTGAGTAGAAGATGTTACTTGTGAATGATAATAAAGATTCTTAATTTCACCATTAATGTTCTGTTGTAAGGTTCCTCCAATACCAACTTTCGATGCATCAGTTGTCATAATGACTGGATAATTATCATTTGGATAATCAAGAAATAATGGAGAAGTTATTAAGAGCTGTTTCAATTGTAAAAATGCTTCATGTTGTGGCTTTTCCCATCTAAAATTTTTTCTATTGTTTTTTGTTAAATTTGTTACTTTGTGAATAGGTGCAGCTATGGATGCAAATCGTGGAATAAATTTCCTATACCATGATAAACCACCCAGGAACTTATTCGCTTCTACTAACGTAGAAGGTTCCCTCAATTTCATAATTGATTGAATTCTTTCGTTATTTGGTTGAAAACCTCCTTCAGATATAATATGAGATAAATAATCAATTTTCTGATGGAATAATTTACATTTTGGTGGATTGAGTTGAAAATTATATTTGGATAAAATACATAATAATTGTTGAAGATGATTAAGATGTTCTTCAAATGAACGAGAGAATACCACAATATCATCGATGTAAACTAATGAAAATTGTCGACAAGGAGATAATATATCGGCCATTACTCTTTGAAATGATGGTGGACTATTCTTCAAACCTTGAGCTAATACATTCCATTCATATAATCCATCAGCTGTAATGAATGCTGTTTTATGTTTGTCCTCTTCTTTAATTGGTATTTGCCAAAATCCACTTTTCATATCTAATTTTGAAAAGAATTTGTAACCACCACCTAATCGTCGTATTGTTTGTTCCATATTAGGTAATGGATGATTGCCTTTAATTGTCATATTATTTAATTTTTTGTAATCGACTACCATTCGCCATGATCCATCATGTTTAACCACTAATAATGCTGGTGCTGCGAATGGAGAATAAGATTTACGAATTAAACCATAATATAATAATTCTTGAACGATCTTGTACATTTCTTCTTCTTTGTGAGGTGTTGAATAGTATGGTCTAGATGATGGTGGAGGATGATCAAGTGTTTTAATTTCATGCGGTTTCACATTAATAGCTATTGCAGGTTTACTTGTATCGAAGAGTTTTTCATGTTGATGAAGGATTGTCTTGATTTCTTCTCTTTGTGTTGAATCTGTAATATGTCGAATTAATTTATTGATGTTATCATTAACTAATTGATGATCAATAGATGTACATTTACTAAAAGATA